GCCTTGAAAACCTCATTTAGGGCCACCTCGATTTGCGTGCACAGTCCGGGCGTGTAGCCGGAAAGCTTATATGTGAAAATCTGTGAAAATGATAAGTTTTGACTGTAAAATGAATAAATTTGACTTCGGTCAACATTTTGGATAAACGGACCCAGACCCGTGATTCGATGGTCCCGGAGGGTCCGTAGGAAAATATGGGACTTGGGCGTATGTCCGGAATCGAATTCCAAGGTCCCAAGCCCGAGAAATGAATTTTTAAAGAAAATTGTTTTCTGAAATGGCTTAAGGAAATTTGAAATGAAATCTGATTAGAACACGATGATATTGGGCCCGTAATTTGGTTCCGGTGCCCGGTACAGGTCTCATATATGATTTAAGATGTTTCTCTGAAATTTGATGAAAAACGGATATCATTTGACGTGATTCGGACTTGAATTGCTAAAGTTGATGTTTTATGAAGTTTGAGAAAAACCCTTTGATTTTGAGGTTTAATTCGTTGTTATCGAGGTTATTTTGGCGATTTGATCGCACGGATAAGTTTGTATGATGTTGTTGAGTTAGTGCGTGTGTTTGTTTAGGAGCCCCGAGGGCTCGGGCGTGTTTCGGATGTGTTTCGGGAAGTTTTGAACTTAGGAAAAATTGCAGAAAATCTGCAACAGGTGCTCAGGCCTGTTGTTCTTCGCGATCGCGTAAGGTAAATGGGGACAGAGGTGATTTTGTTCAATGCGAACGCGGGGGAAGGATCGCGAACTCGGAGCACTAGGGGGGGAGGGGTTGCTCTACGCGAACGCGACCCACGTCCCGCGAACGCATAGTGTAAATAGGGGGCTGGTTTGGGAAGTGAACATTCCTCTACGCGAACGCGTTCATAGGCCCGCGAACGCGAAGGTCAGGGGGGCCAACCCTTTGAGAACGCGTAAGAGGACTCGCGATCGCATAAGCCTGAGGAAGGCTGCTCTTCGCGAACGCGGCAGACCCATCGCGAAGGCGATGAAGGTCTGCCCAGCGATTTTAAAACAGTAGCCATTACGGGACTTCTTCAAAATTTCATAACTTCTTCATCTCAACTCCAAATTGGGCGATTTTTGAAAGAGGATTTTACCACAACTCATAGGTATGTAATCTTAGACTCATTTTCTTCATTTTCCATCAACACCCACTAGATTTCTAGGCCTAAATCATGAGATTAAGGGTAGAAAATTAGGGATTTGGGTAGAACTAGGGCTTTTTGATTAATTGTGATTTAGACCTCGTTTTGGGGTCGAATTCTGGGAATAATTATATATTTGGGCTCGTGGGTGAATGGGTGATTTGATTTTGGTCCGAACCTCGTGTTTTGACCAAGCGGGCCCGGGGTCGATTTTTGGGAAGAATGATTAGAAAGCTATAATTAAGCATTGAAATTGGATTGTTTATCATTTATTGATATTATTAAGTTAATTATGTATATATTCGATTGGGTTGGAGCCGAATTTGAAAGGAAAGGCAGTATTTGAGGCTTGAGTTGGCCGTGGAAGTTTGAGGTAAGTGTTTGGTCTAACCTTAGCTTGAGGGATTAGGAGTTGAGTCCTATTTGCTATATGGTATTCGTTGTGTACGACGTATAGGCATGGTGACGAGTATCTATACGTTGGTGTCTAGCATGACCGTGAGTCTTATAATGTGATTTTCATGATTTCGTTGAATAATCTATGCTTTAGAAGTGATTTCTATTTGTTGTGAAAAGTTAAGGAAGAAATTGTGACTTTTGAACATCGAGGAGCAATGGCTCAAGTTATATTACGAATTTGTGAAAGTAAGTGAGTTGATTGAACCCTTTGGAGCATTGGCTCAAGTGGTAAAGTGAGTTGTGAAGCAAAAGTGAAAAGAGAAAGAGTTATTAAATTGTTCCATTGCCGGTATATTATTGCTTATTTGGTTATCTCCCTTGCCGGGATGTTGATATTGTTGGTGCTGTTCCCTTGCCGGGATTTAATTGTTTAATTATTGCTCCCTTGCCGGGATTCCTATTATAATCTTGTTTATTCCCTCGCCCCATTGTTTGTGATTGTTGTTTGGGTGAGGAAGAGTGTTAAAGCACGAAGGGTGATGCCGTGCATTGTTGATATTGTGAGGAAAGAGTGTAAAGCACGAAGGGTGATTTCGTGCCGCACGATGTACCATGCTGTGCTGATTATATTGATTACATGGTGAGGAGAGAGAGTAAAAGAACGAAGGGTGATGCCGTGCACATCTTTGATAAATAATTGTTTTGGTGAGGACGAGAGTAAAAGCACGAAGGGTGATGCCGTGCAAACTGTTGATTTCTGTTCCTTGTTGATATTCGAGTTGTGTTGTTCCTTTCTTTACTTGATGCCTTTCTATTCAGAACTGTTATCTCCCCCACAGCATGTTCCCCCTTCCCACATTGACTGGTTATTTCTGTATTTCTTTTTCCACTGTATATATAATTAAACTGCACAGGTTTATTTGGTAGTCTGGTCCTAGCCTCGTCACTACTTCGCCGAGGTTAGGCTAGGCACTTACCAGCACATGGGGTCGGTTGTGCTGATACTATACTCTGCACTGTGTGCAGATCCCGGAGCAGCTTTTCGGACAGTAGTTGGAGGGTTTCCTTCAGTCCACCCGGAGACCTAAGGTAGACCTGCAGGCGTCCGCAGGCCCTGGCGTCTCCCTCTATCTCTGTTTCTTGTTTCCTTCTCTTTATTTCAGAAACAGTGTACTGTTATTCTTCAGACCTTGTATGTAGTAATCTTAGATAGTCTGTGATACTGTGACACCAGATTTTGGGTATTTGAGGTTTTAGAAGTTGTAATAGACGTTGATTCCAGATAATTTATTATTACCTTCCGCTTAATTATTTAAAGTTCCGCTGATTTCATGTTATCGCTTATATTTGTTAAAAAGAAGTAATTTGATAACGCAGTAAGTAGTTAAGTTTTGGCTTGCCTAGCTCCCAATACTAGGCACCATCACGACTCCGAGGGAGGAAATCCGGGTCGTGACAAAAGGATTCCGACAATAGGGGAAATCAGAACCTTAGATCATTCCAATTGTTGTCTACAACCCATTCGTAGTTAGTTCTTAATTATTGCACTTTTATTATATAATATTTAGTTATTAAACATCCAATCTTTTACTTAAATATTTCCGAAGATTGAATACGTGAATTTGTGTAAGTCCAATAGCTGTGATTGATAGGTTAATTCCCCGTAGGATTCGACTCCGGACTTGTTAACCGGAATATATTTGCAGCGACCGCTTTGTCCTTTTTATAAGGCACAGTTGGGCGTGATCAAATTTTGGCGTCGTTGTCGGTGAATTTAACGGTGTTATTAATTGTAGCTAAAAGAAGTGCTAAAATTCTTAGCATAGTCAATTTTCTTCAATTTAAACCAAGTACATTGAAATTCTTACGTTTGTAGTCTTGGGTGTTACAGGTGCATGTCTAGAAACTCCTCAAGAACTGGTGAATTGTTCGAAGCATTATCAGATCCTGAGAAACTTTTCAGGGCACTGAATTGTGCAAACAAGAAGGGCAAACAACAACAGAACTCAAAAGAACAAATCGAACCAGACATGGAAGAAGATAATCTAAACAACAGAAACAACGCGAATGACCCGAACAATCAGGGTGTGGTGCCTCTTGTGCCAGAAGCAGCATTGTATGATTGGGCGTAACCCACCGCTGACAACTTTGCAACCAAAGGCCAGAATAGCTCGCGGAACACTACTTGGGAGTTAGAATCATTGATTTCTACATCCCTTTATCTTTACTCTGAAATTTAATTATGCAAATTACTTTGGATATTATTACTATGAGTATGAGTAGCTAAACTCCTAATCTAGGGTTTTGATGGAACCTGTTGAAGGATGATTTTCTCGTTACTTAATATAGGTTTGCCATAGTATTCTCTCTATTCGTTCAACTATATGCTTATTGCTGTTGATTGAAGGGCCCTCAATTAACTGTTCCTATTTAGTGTGCATTACTCGGGAGAGAGTGCATATTTAGGTAGTTGTTGAACAACATCACTCCTAACGTATATGAGGGATCAATACAAAGGGTTTAAAGGTAGGATTAGGGATAAGAAACCTTGTGTGCGATCTAAGTGAGCTGTACTTAAGGTTAGCTAGCGTAATTCGGGAGAATATGTCTAGTATATTGTTGTAATTACTCAGGAGAGAGTTATGACAGTCAGAGTGCTCATGATCGATAGAGAAGACTTAGGCAAATTTATAGAAAACATAGCGGAAAGGAATTCCGACAATAGGTGAAATCAGAACCTTAGATCATTTCAATTCTTGTCTACAACCCGTTCGTAGTTAGTTCTTAATTATTGCATTTTCATTACGTAATATTTAGTTATTAGACATCCAATCTATTACTTAAATATTTCCGAAGATTGAATACGTGAATTTGTGTAAGTCCAATAGCTGTGATTGATAGGTTAATTCCCTGTGGGATTCGACTCCGGACTTGTTAACCGGAACTATTTGCAGCGACCGCTTTGTCCTTTTTATAAGGCATAGTTGGGCGTGATCATGTATTAGCTTTCTTCAATTTTTTACAAGGATTGTGGTGGAGTGGTAAGTACTCCTTCGTCCTTAACCAGAGGTCTTGGGTTCGAGCCCCTAGGCATGGAGTCGCCTTTGTTAGGGAGCGCTTTACCCCCCAATGTGGGACTCCCGGCGCGAAGCCGGATTTAGTCGGGCCCGAATGTGGGTACCGGACATCGGGTCAAATCAAAAAAAGAATATGCATATCTTTTGTGATACTAAATTTGAATAATATTTTAATCTTTTATATATAATATTAAAAAAAAATATTGATTTTTGATATCTATAGAAATTAAAAAATATTTAAACATCAAATGCTTCTATTTAAACGTCAAATGTTCTTATGACTATATAAGTTGTGAAAAAAATGATTTTTAAGAATAGACAAATGGATATGTATGAGCTGGAAAACGGAAGAGGACCAAGTCATACAATTTGTTATAGAAATTTACAAACAATCAACCCAGAATGTGATTGAATAGAAAAATATAAAAAAACTTATAGTAGTATTAATTTGAGTCAAGTCAAACGAGCTTCCGAAGCAAACAAACAAGGCTGATCAGGAGACAGCTGAAGAAGAAGAAAGAAAAGCTGCAAACAGATCTCATCTCTCTTTTCTGCTGACCTCCTTTGTATTCTTATGCCTTCTCTGCTTTGGGTGCCTCTTTTCTTAGGATTCTACTTCGATTGAGATACTTTTGGACCTACACAGCACTCATCATTCATTTCTGGACCCAGAGAGAGAGAGATGGGAATTTGTTTCAGTAATGCGTCTCATAATCAGAGCCCTTGTACCACTGGCCATTTCAGTTCAGGTACCCTTTCTCTTTTACCCACCTTAATTAGAATTTGATGCCCTCACTTATTCAGAGATTTCAAGAATTCGTTTCTATCACTTCTTTCTGGGTATCGGTTTCTATTGATTTCATTTTTATTTATTCATTTTTTTCATGTGCTTATCTATCCAAAAACTATTACCTGGTTGATTGAATGTATTTAAATTGCAGCAGGCATATCACAGACGACCAGCAACACGACATCCTCAACTGTGAGCAACGTCTCCGGGAAAAGCCAATTCTCAGCAGCCAGTGGATCGGTCGATGAGGTTTATCCGAATGGGGAAATATTACCCCACTCCAGTTTACGCATGTTTTCTTTTACCGAACTCAAGGCCGCCACCAGAAATTTTAGAAATGATACGGTGCTGGGAGAAGGCGGTTTTGGGAAAGTTTACAAGGGTTGGCTTGATGAGAGGGCTTCTGGCAAGAGTGGTAGCGGCACTGTAATTGCTGTTAAGAAATTGAATTCTGAAAGCTTACAAGGGTTGGAAGAGTGGCAGGTCGTTCCTCTCTTCTAAATAACTGGACCTATTTCTAGTTTATACCAGCAGCTAGCTTGCTTCGTTTAGTGTAGCTGCAATTGCTCTCTTCTTTATACTCCATGAGCATATGGATCAATTTGCAAAGAAGCACTTGCCATTGATTTAGTAACTCATTTCTGGGTAATATTGGTTGGCTAACGTGAAGGGGAGCCTTGGCGTAACTGGTAAAGTTGCTGCCATGTGACCAGGAGGTCACGGGTTCGAGCCGTGGAAACAACCTCTTGCAGAAATGTAGGGTAAGGCTGCGTATACGCATAGGCATAGCGGGAGCTTAGTGCACCGGGCTGCCCTTTAATGGTTGGCTAACATCCCATTGAGTTGAACTTCTTTGGCTACTTTTGGTGGGAAACAGAAAATTAAGATTTAAGATATTATGTATCCTGTTTAATGCACGTCGTTTGCTCTAAACTTTAGCAAAAACATATTCCTTGAATGTCTGGCACCTTATTGTCGTTCTCCAGATATAGAACAATGACCAATATGATTATGCTAACATTAAGTTGGGTGGTTGGTCTAGGATCTTTGTTTGCGGTCTTGGTTTTGTAGTTCAGAATTTGTGTTTATATGATTTCGTAAAGCACCTTTCCAGTTGCTCATTCAGCAAGCTTAGTGAATCATCACTTTTGGACGCAGGCAACCCTCTACCATCTATCCAATTGCATTCCATTGTCTCACCTTTTTGCCTTTTTAATTCTTATATAATCCTGTTTTACTGAAACTTGTGATATTATGTCTCCTACTTTAGTAGATTGGTTAACATCTTTGGGCACATGTTTTGCTTTCTCCTGATTAACTCTAGTTGGTCATTTACTAGACTAGGAACTGTAGGCTTTTATTCTAAATGTTTGAAAGTGAAAAATTAATCCATTGCTCAGAGACAGTGAGTTTTTATTGCTGGTATCTGCTAAAAAATATTCCAAGGTTCTCTGTCAATCTCATTTCATTTGTATATGCAGTCTGAGGTGAATTTTCTTGGAAGACTTTCTCATCCTAACCTGGTCAAACTCTTGGGATACTGCTGGGAAGATAAAGAGCTATTGCTTGTCTATGAGTTTATGCAAAAGGGCAGCTTGGAGAACCATCTCTTTGGAAGTATGAGATGAGCTATATCTTCTCAATAATATATACGATATTCTAGATTAAAGCAGTGAGGAATGTGTCTACTTCATTCTCCACCTAAACATATTTGTTCCTCTTTGGTCTGCTTAGGGGGCTCTGCTGCTCAGCCACTTCCATGGAACGTAAGGCTTAAAATTGTGATTGGCGCAGCCCGGGGCTTGGCCTTCCTACATGCATCGGAGAAGCAAGTCATTTACAGAGACTTCAAGGCTTCAAATATATTACTTGATGGCGTATGTTCCCTTTTCTTCTCCCTCAGAATATTGTCATATAGTGGCTTAACGCATGTAATATAGACATTCATAATTGATGCCAGTTGATTACTTCATTCAACACAAATCCTCTTCTTTCTGAGCATCTTTCTGGTTTACACGCTGTTTTGCCTAAAGTTTGGACCTCTCTTCATCACAAAGTGACAAAACCTGACTAGCTGTGAACATTAGAGAGAAAAGGTTGTTATTAATAAAAATGTTTCTTGACATTTTTTAATTCCTTTTGGTTTCAGTCTTACAATGCGAAGATATCAGATTTTGGCTTGGCAAAACTAGGTCCGTCGGCTAGTCAATCACATGTGACTACACGGGTCATGGGAACGCATGGTTATGCTGCTCCTGAGTATGTTGCAACAGGTAAACTTAGAGTCTGTTGGGCTTCTGTAGTTGGAAATTCTACTTTTCTGGAATCACATCTAGTTCTTACAGGCTTAAAAATATAGAGTCAAATCCAAAAAAATATATGTTCATACTTCTATTGTCATTTTTCGACAGGACACTTATACGTAAAGAGCGACGTCTATGGTTTTGGTGTTGTTTTAGTGGAAATGCTAACAGGTCTACGGGCATTAGACACAAACCGCCCAAGCCACCAGCATAATCTGGTTGAATGGATTAAGCCACATTTATCTGATAGAAGGAAGTTGAAGGACAAGATGGATTCACGGCTGGAAGGGAAATATCCATCCAGAGCTGCAGTACAAATAGCACAACTGGCACTGTCATGTCTTGGACCTGAACCTAAAACCAGACCATCAATGAAAGAAGTAGTGGAGAAACTAGAACAGATTGAGGCTGCCAATGAAAGACTCAAGGAGCCTAGAGTAAGTTCCAGACATCAGACTGCTTATAGATATGGTCAGCAACCTTTGCACCATCGTTCTCCACTTCATCCAAGGCACGATGTAAATCGAGCCTATCCACTCCCAAGAAGAGCATACTGAATATGATACTTTCTATTTACACAACAATTTGAAGAAGTTATGATAACTTAGTTGTCCAAGTAGAAACATTTTCTTCTTCTTCTTTTGTCGCCTGGCCTCTTCAGAGCCATTGTATGTTTAGTTGGTCTTTAGTCTGCGCTTGTGAGGTGAAGTGGTAAGGCTCTGTATGGTGTTGGGTTGTAATTGTTTTAGCGATATGTAAAGAGGTCGTTATTTTGTAGATTGAAGGAGATTCAGATTTTGAGTCAGACTTGTTACTATCTTATGTTATGGATTGTTTGACCAAAAAGTGTTAAGCCTTTTGTTAAACCAATTAATCATAAAATAAAGGATAAAATTTAGACAAGGATAATTAACTCTAGATCCCAGCGCATTGAACAAGAGAATGAGATATAATCAAACTTATAGCTCGATTTACGGTCATTAAAAGACATCAAGTATAAATGATGAGTTTACATCTTTGGCGTGCCGTTCCATAATGTAAGAGCAAAAAGGAAAAAGAAGGAATGCCACTAATAACCAAGAGATCTAATTATATTGATTTGGCAAAATGATGATTACGGAGAATTGTATTTGCTATCTAAGCCTTTTCTTGGTCTTCTCTTCTCCTCTTTTCTCCGGGAGAAGAAGTTCCCCTTTTCTTGTCTTCTTACCTCCTATATATACTATCAATATTCCCTTTGGTCCATCGGTCCTTAACCAGAATGCCTTCATTCCTTGACTGTCCTTCGTCGCCTCCCTCAAATATCACGATATTTACTTCACCATACAGGCTTTTTGATGACTCAATCTCGGCAGTGGCCGAGGTCTTCATTGTTATTACACCATGTGGGTATGACCACGGCTTGGTCGACCTCTTACCCTTCCTGTTAGCGCTAATCCACATGTGGTCAGATTTTGACCCATCCAGTTAGTCCCTCCGCCTGTTGGGGTCGCCTCTTGGCGAGCTCGACGGGTGGACACTGTTGATTCAGAAAATAGGAGAAATCTGAATGCTTTATGCGAGGGGCGGGAACCTCATAGCGAGATAGCGACATGACGCTTCAAGGATCGCGTCGGACCGTTACGACAGTTCAAGACTGGATCGTCACGTCAGTTCAGGGTGTCATCAATATTCCCCATGCATCATTATGGTGCACGTTTTCTAGGTATTGTATCATTTCTCGTGCCCTTTCCGTTTTCTAACTGACGACTCTTGGTTTTCCCGCTTAGGACATTTATATCCCTGTAAATAAGAGGGGATCTCCTCTTTTGAACGTTACGTTTTTCAATTGTTTGAGAGAGAATTTCACAAGTTTTCTCTTCTTTCCTTAATCTTTCATATCTCTGCTTCTGCTAGGATTTGTGGTGACCATTGTCTTTTTCATTTATCATATTTGCTTCTTTCGATCAAAGAAAGCAAATGGCTAGTACTTCTTCCCACACTGATAAAGATGTAGGTGCTCCGGTGCCGGAGAATGACACACCCCTACTTGAAGAGGGAGTGGAAGTGATGGAAGATGAGGGGTTTCCGACGGCGGACGAGGTGGTCCCCCGCCCGGGGAAGGCGAGGACCGAACAGCCCTGCCGGAGATGAACTGAAGCCCGTCCTTCCATGATGGATGCTGCAGCGATCACGACGTTCAAAGCCAAATGGGGGATCCCCGAACATATTGAAATGGTGCCGGCGGACAAGAATCTAGTGCACTTACATCGCCCGGGCTACTGCGCATTTTACGCGTATCCCTTTGTCATCGGGCACACGCTTCCCCTTCCTTCCTTGGTGGCTGACTTCTGCCATTTCTATGAAGTCTGCCCGGCTCAACTCTCTCCGTATGCGTATAAGCTTTTTCTCATGCTCATCAAGTATGCAGAGCTGGCCGGCCGAGGAGTTTCTCTAGGGCACATGCTCCACCTCTTCGCCCCCCATTTTCTTGGGGTACGATGATTCATATGCGTCATCAAGGGACCAAGAGTTTGGTGGTGAAGATAGATGACAAGACCAACCGCCGCTTCTGGAAAAATTACTTTTATATCCGAACAGAGCATGTCGTATCGAACCCGGCGGGGTTTCCCGAGACGTGGAATTTCGCTCGTAAGTTCTCCTTTTCGTTTGCTTTGTGCATTTTTTCTTAAGATGGTCGTCAATCGTCTTCTTTTAACGACTTCGCTGAGGATTTGTTTTTGTTTTTGCAATTAAGAGACTGCCTCCCCCGCTAGTTGCCGATATCCGCGAGTGGGCGAGCGCAATTCTACCCAACACAGTGGGGATTCGTGTGTGGGCGTCTTTCCATGAGAAGTTTGGGCGCAAGCCGCTTACTGGTGAGTTAGTTCATTGTGATTTCGCTTTGTTCTCTACTTCACAGTTTTTTTTTTTACCTTGTCGTTTGTAGACATGTGATTTTTGACCCTCCCCAAGATTTTTTGTATTTTAGCACGTAAATATTTAATTTAGGCTTAATATAGCTATTTCAACTCATTTTGACTCTATTACTTTATTTTATTACAATAAAAATAAAAATTACAAAAAATATTTTAGTTTATGTATTTTTCATAAATTTTTAAAAAAAAATACAAAATAGTACCTTATTTTTATCTTTATGTAATTTCGGAAATACAAAAATAGTTTCATGTTTAGTTTAATTAATTAGGATTAGTATTAGCATTGTATAGTATTTTTATCTTATTTTAAAAGGAGTCAATTAAGATGTTGGATCACAATTTTAAGAGTTTTAGAGCCCAGTTCTTGGCCCAATTCGGATTAGTCCATTAAGCCTAGGGACCCTTCTGGACTCTTCTTTGGAACAAAAACAAATAAAAAAGACCCTAAGGACTTAACACAAAAAGACCTAGGGACTAATTGGTAAAATACATAAAAATACACCTAAACCTAGACTCTACCTATAAAGTAATGCTCAAAAATTAGCAAAAAGGGAGCTGACAAAAAGGAACCCACCCTCCTCGACTTCATCTTCTCCGGACGACCCCAGCCCCCCCTGTCATCATCTTCTTCGAAGAAACACAAAGAGAAAACAGAGCTTTCCTTCGAATTTCAACGCTGGAACCAGCTGAAAAGAGAACAAAAAATTAAAAATAGACCTAGATGCCAAGAGTTGAGACTCGCCGCTGACACCCCAAACGACCCCTGAGCATTCTGCTTCTTCTTCAATCAAAGTAACGACCCCTCATCCAAAGACACACACACAGCCATATACAGAGAACAGAGGGAAGAAAAAATGGAATTCGACTGAAATTTGGGTTTAAGTTTGCGATCAATTGGAGAGCCTTAGTGCCGAGTCGAGTTCCCAGCTGTTGCTCGAGGTTCCAGTCATAATTTCTACTCGTTTTTTTTGCCGTCTCACCACCGTTTTCTCGGAGTCGAGGCATGTGTATTCATTGCTACTTCATTGATTTTTGAAGAGAATTTTGGCTCAGCAGGTTTTATTCCGTATCACTCTTCTTTTATCTGAATTTGTTTGGGTGATTTGAGTTTCAGAATAGTTGTTTTGTTTAATTTCCTCTCGATTCAAGTTTACATTTTGTGTCGATTGAATGTTCATCGAGTTCTTCTGTTGAAATCTTCAAGTGAGCTTAAAGTGTGTGAACATTCAGATTATCATCATGTTTAGTATCTCCATATTATTGTTAGTCATGTATTTGCGGGTGTTATGTAAAGTAATTGGGACGTTTGGTTTGGATAGTCATGGGAATACCAGGTCTTTTTTTTTTTTTTTTGTGCATTTTCATTTGCTTGGCCAGCTTCATTTGTCTTTGAAAGGTTAACAGAGCAGTCTTCTGCACATAGTGCTCCATATTGATAACCTCTTGTTGGTTTGGTTTAGCTTTGTACCAGCCGAACCTTGTCTGCATTTGCTAAAATCGATAGCAATTTTCAGATTATGGAAGTGTAAATGAAAAAAAATAGGTAGTAGGAATTGGGATCTGGAAAAGTTCATTGTCTGTTTCGTTAGTCAGGAATAAGCCACGAGTAGAGATAAGCCAAAGGTGGCCTCAAATGAAGAATTGTAACTTTGTGCTCGTTAATATCGTCTGCTTGCTTTATTAAATGCGCTTTCCCTTACTTCTGGATCCTTCATCCTTTTGCAATGCTGGTATGAATCAGAATGATCCCAAGAATGAAACATTAGTAGCCAATGGAGTTGTTACTGGTTTTATTGTTGATTAACTGGTCAATTCAAATAACTAAAATGAACACTCTTCTTCCAACATGAAAATCCATCCCTTTGAAATAATTTGAGGCGAGCCATGCCAAATAAAATCTCAAAACCCATGGCCCTTGCTTAATTAATTTTTAACTCTTTAGAATTTGAGGCATGCCATTTAGTAAATTTCCATGACCCTCGCGAAGTTAACAATGCGTAGTTGCTTTAGGCGCGTTATTTTAATAACTTTACCTTCCTAAACCCGGGTGCGCATTTATGTGACCCAAATCCAAATCTCAACAATGTTATATAGAATGTGTTGCGGACCGCGGTGCATTTATGTGACGTGGTTCAAAACGCGTTTTATGTGACGTTGAATCTTCCTAAAAAATATTAAATAAAAGCGGTTATAAAGTTGAAATTGAACCATAGGTTAAAATATGTAATAAAATCAGATAATAGGCCAATTATAACAGTTGAGCGACCATGCTAAAACCACGGAACTCGGAAATGCCTAATACCTTCTCCCGGGTTAACAGAATTCCTTACCCGGATTTCTGGTTCGCGGACTGTAATACAAAGTCAATCCTTTCCTCGATTCAGGATTTGAACCGGTGACTTGGGACACCATAAATCTCCCAAGTGGCGACTCTGAATTCTTCAACTAAATAAATCCCGTTTCGATTGTCACTTCAAGTTGGAAATAACTCCTTTATTATACTTCTTCCGGGGGTGTAGGAAAAAGGAGGTGTGACAGCTCTGGCGACTCTGCTGGGGACAAGAACCCAGAATCTCTGATTCAGGGTTCAAGAATTCGAGCTTAGAATAATTGTTATATTTGGCTTTATTTATTATCTGATTTTACTACATGTTTGTGCCTAATGTGCTAAATGTTGCTTTTGCCGCTTTGATATTATCTGAACTGTATATAAACTGCTACGGAACCCTTCTCTTATCATCTTCGAGGATGTGCACGCTGGCCGTGACTCCCTATTCTGTTAGTGTCATACCTTGAAATAAGAAAGAGGCTCGGACAAGTTACTAAGCCGATGGCCTTTTGGTTTCCGGTACGTTGCCCCCTCCTCGGCTCGAGTTGTCCGCTCGGGTACACAAGTCTTGAACA